GTTCAATGTGTCTGCAGAATGCTGCTATATTCAACTGTTAAATGAAAATAGTAATGAAAATGCAAACATTGTATGTTTAAGTGATTAATGGAATGAAAATGAAAAAGGAAAATGCTGTTCAATGTTATGTCCAAGCGTTTAATGCATTAGTATTGAACATTTTAATATGATGGTTTTGTGTCAAATGAAATAGTGAGGAAACTGTTAATGTTATGAAATGTGTCAAATGAAATGGATATGCTGATTCTTCATAAAATTTCATTAAATATGCTGATTCTTCATAAAATTCCATTAAATGTGTTTTAACTATCAAAATCATTGAATAGTCTTAATTGCCTGCTGTTTTTCATCATGTGGGGCGACCATTTGTCATGTGGGGTAACCAACTACATTCAATTCTGCAGTAAATTCAAAAAATAATATCTGTCCATTTTGGTTGAAATATAATTCATTGGTATAACATCAATAAGTGGATACTATATCTACACATTTTAAATCAGTTTTATGGATTTTATGAGTAAAAAAAATATGTAATTGCTTTATGAGGGTGACACTGCCATTATAGATAAAAATGTATTTAACATCATTTGCAATAAATGAAAGGACACATGAGTATATCTTTCTTAAACAGTTCAATTAATTACTGATACTTCTTAAAATATAACTTATGCAAAGGAAATCTATTAATTATAAGATAAATTACGGTCGCCCCAAATGACTTTTTTAAGGTCATTGCCCTATTCATTTGAGTTTAAAAGCACTAAAATATCTTTGTTTGAAGTTTTCACACACTTGCATGTGTAGACTACACTCCACATGTTTAGAAAATAGACAAATATATTATTATTTCAAGTATTTTAAAAATGGGCCTCTCAAAGGCCTTATACGTCATTGACCCATATGCAAACTCAAGTGAATAGATATATAATATATTTTTTCCACTTTGTTTACTGAAGGCTTGTGTTTACTAAATAGAAAAAGTGTGAACACCCGAATTTAAAAAAAATAAAAAATTAAACATCCCAAATCGTTCAGCCACAAAAGTATGGTTTGCACTAAAAAAAGTCTTCAGGATTAAACAAGCTTTTTAAATTTGCATTTATTCATATTGTAATATACATATAGCAGAAAAAGTAAATATCGCAAAGTTTTTTTTCCAATATCATGCAGCCCTAGTTAAAAGAGTTCAGAGGAAGTTTGAACTGTTTTTTTCAGTGGCAGAAGGTTTTTTATAATGCGCAGCCGGATACGAAGACTCCTGGGGCCTCATCTGCCCGTTCAGCAAAAACACACATAGAACGAGACTGTATCCTTTGATTAATTTGTGCTAGTCTCAGATGTTGCTCTCATTATTTTATTTTATATACATTTTTTTTTAGCAGGAATAGAACAAAGTAACAGTCTGCATAAAGAGTTCATACATGTCCTTCATGGCTGACCAATCTTTCATTGCCCATTACCCACAACCCCCTGCAGCATCCTCCCGACAATTCATCAAAGGCTTCTAGTCCCAGATGACTGGTGGCACAGCATCAGCAGGCGTCTCTCTCTCCCCCCCTCTCTCTCTCTCTCTCTCTCTCTGTCTTACACTCTTTATTTCTCTGTCTCAGCCTCCTCTTCCGTTCACTCTTTTATAGATAGACGAAGCGGGCATCCACCTCCTCTAGCTCAGCACTTGGATGCATTCAGTCAGATTAACTTGAATATGTGTCGACGCTGCTCGGTTCCTACCCAACAGGCTCGATTCTATCAGCACTTCTCCTGCCAAATGCCATCATAGAAAATCATGGCATCATAAAGAAAGAGGCGGAGAAGGAAGAGGAAGGAGCTGGTTCTGCTATTAGTAGCAATAAATGCCACTTAATTATGCTGATAGTCATCTGTGTCATATTGTGGATATTTAGTGTAAGAGTGTTGGTAATTTTTACATATATGGATATATTGATCAGATAAAGTTATTAAACATTTATTTCCAAATACATTTTCTTTTCATTGAAGCATTTTCTGGTTACACTTTATAATAACTACATGTTATTATATTAGTAATATTTAGTAACTACATGTACTTACTATAGGGTTAGATTTAGGGTGTGATTTGGTTTTTGTTAGTTATGTGTAATTATGCATAATTTATAGGTTCTACTATAGTAACTACATGTAACAATGCTGCACTCTAAAAAAAAGTGTTACCGCTTTTTATATAAAAAATGAATACTTTTATTCAGCAAGGACAGTGACATATATGATGTTACAAAAGATTTAGATTTACAATTATATTAAAAAGTGTATCAAAAATATTTCACAGTGTTTTTAGTGAGCAAAGAGACTTTCAAAAACATTTTAGAAAATCATACCGAACTTTTAAGCGAAGTGTGTGCATATTTAAATCATCATGAGGCTTTTTATTTGGAAACATTTTATATTGATTAATTTTGTTATTTACTATGTTCAATATTTATTTATTAATAGTATAAATACAGTATACGTCTTTGATACAAACGTTTAATTTATGAACATTTGGGATCAAGATCTGGAGTTTAGAAGTGTAATTAATGATATTTTTTTTTTTGAAAAACACATGGATACAAAATCTAATTTAAGCCTGACAAAAAGTTTTAGGATTACGCGACAAAAGAAAACATGAATTATATTTCAGATTTTGGAGTAAACTATTTGTGACATTATGTGAACTCCTTCAGGTCTCAATTTTTGATATGCTAACTGGTGTGTGTTTTCACTGTATATGAACTGATCGATCACAGTACATCGATCTGCTTTCCAAAGCATTAAACGATAATTGTGAATATGATTATTTTGCTCAAAATGTTCTCTAAACAAGGTTCTGTGTATTCTAGCAAGATAAAAGGCGAATGTAGGAGTCCATGAAATTACCTGTCGGCAGTTTTTCATTTCTATGCTAATTCAGTTGAGCTGAATGAGAGTTGGAGCTACAGTGGCAAGGCTAAACAGCCTCTGTAAAGACATATCTGTGGGCAGCGAGCTTCAGCAGACCTTGAGGCAAAGAGTGAAAAGAACGAAGCGACTCACAAAAGAAACAAACGTAAAGGCTGAGCCGATCACCACCCCTCCCCAACCTCTCTCCTTTCCTCGTCTCTCCTTGCTTTGTTCGTAAATACACACACACACACACACACATAAAAAAAAGCACGCCCCCACAAACACACATCCTTCTTTACTCAAATCTACCCGCTGTCTCCCCTTTTTACAATTTTCATCTCTCTATCTGTCATTTTGACAGTGCAAATATTCTGAATCCAGCATTGTCAAAGCGCTCTCAGAGGGCTGGAGCTTTTCATTATACAGAGTAATTAACTGTCAAAGCGAACACCACACCGCATATTTTGTTTTCTCACAATGCTAAGTGCGTAGATGTATCCGGCAATGATCAAAGAGATCAATCGCTAATTTGTCAGTTCAATTAATATTTCAAGTGAAAATCAAAAAGTGTGTGATGATGTTTTCTTGCAGAATTGTTGGTAGTGTGTGAGCATACGCACTGCTATGGCACAAGTAGCTGGTGTTTTAAGTGAATGGTTGCGAGCATGTGAGGTGGGGGGTGGAAGGGTGGTTGGTTGGTTGCTATGCATCATTCCGACTCCCTTTCAGTCCCTCTTGAATGCTGGAGTTGAGTTTCCATGGAAACACTGACCCCTGGGAGTCGATGCTTTTCAGGAGGAGCCTGTTTTTACCTAGTGATTCACTGCACAGGAAGTACAAGAACAAAACACATCTTTATATTTATCTTCTAATGCGTAATTTTCTGGTTTCAATCAGTGCTGCAGTATTTTCTTCTTTTGTAATGTTATCTAAAATAATAATATTTCTATTTCTATCTTATATTTTCTTATATATTTCAGATAAGCCAGTGTCAATTCAATATTATTTATGAGGTTTTCATGCATTTCCTTCATTTTAGTTTATTTTTTTGTAATTTTGGTTTGTTTTTTATTTCACTTTTAGTTTTATTAATTTTAGTACTTCAACTTCAACTTATTTAATTCAGCTAGTTGCTACATTTTTTATCGTTTTTTTAAAGTGTTTTATCTAATATTTAGATTTTATTTTAGCTTTATTTCAATTCGTGAAAGTATTTTTTAATAGTTAACAATACCAACACTTAGCTAAACTTTTTTTTAGATTTAATATTTTAATGTAATATTTTGCAGTCTACTCTCTAAAATAATAGTATAATTGATTGAGGATTGTTCAATTATTCAATTAAAATACATAAGGATTATTTATTTCAATTGGATGGAATTTTACTATTAATTGCGTAAATCTATTTTTTTTTAATTAAATGTTTCTAATCCTTTCATACTATTTTACAGTTTTTGGTTACTGCACAGTTAACAGCACCTAAAATGAACATAGAAACAAATAATTGTTTTTGGTTAAGAAATCCAAAATCATTTTAACCACCACATTTATCAAGGGTGCTTTTAGCAACATTATAACAAGATCGGTATGTACTGTGTAAAGCTTTGGTAAAAAATACCAGCTTGAGTCACTGCTTGATCAGAGGAGCAAGCCTTTCTAAGTTAGGGAAGAAACCATGGTAACCACTGTTTACACTTTTTTTCCCCCTCTATTAAAGAGGAAAGTGTTTTCGCAGACATTATCAAAAACATACTCACTGAGAACACTGTTGCTGTTGCACTAAATTACAAGATAAAGTTCTTCTGTCAAATGCAACTTGATTAATGCTTTAATGATACAGCAATTGATAAAATGGCAACTTGAGGCAAAGTAATTACTGTACAGTCTAAAAGCCAGGCTTTGGTTTAAACACATACAGGCGCAGTTGCCGCAAAAGAAGTTGTTTGTGTTCAAAGACATTGGTTGGGCTGCAACTAATGGGCTCCCAGTGGATAAAAAATAAATTCACTACTTTTAAATCCCAAAACTGAGAAATGGTGCTTCCTTGACTACTAGAGCGACTCATTAACTGACACCAGCCTCTCTGCTTATGTTTCCTTCAGGCCAAGCTGATAGTGCCCAACAGTACGGCAGGGCTGATCATCGGCAAGGGCGGAGCCACCGTGAAGGCCGTCATGGAGCAGTCCGGTGCCTGGGTCCAGCTCTCACAGAAACCCGAAGGTATCAACCTGCAGGAACGCGTCGTCACCATCAGCGGAGAGCCTGAGCAGAACCGCAAGGCCGTCGAGATCATCGTCCAGAAGATCCAGGAGGACCCGCAGAGCAGCAGCTGTCTGAACATCAGTTACTCCAACATCTCCGGCCCCGTGGCCAACTCCAACCCCACTGGTTCTCCGTACGCCAACTCTGCAGAGGTGATGCCGGCTGCTGCCGCGGCAGCGGCGGCCACGGCCTCCAGTCTCCTGGGGCAGGCCAGTCTGGCTGGAGTGGGCGCTTTCCCCACCACCATGTCCAGCTTCTCAGGGAATGACCTGCTGGCTATCACGTCCGCACTAAACACGTTAGCCAGCTATGGATACAATACCAACTCCCTGGGTCTAGGGCTAAACCCTGCAGCCGCCTCAGGAGTCCTCGCCGCTGTGGCTGCAAGCGCTAACCCTGCTGCAGCCGCGGCCGCCAACCTGCTAGCCTCCTACGCCAATGATGCGTCCAGCGGCGCCGGCCACCCGGCGGCCAGCCTGGGAGGTTTCACGCTAGGCTCGCTCGCCGCCGCCACTGGAGCCACCAATGGCTACCTGAGTGCCGCTTCCCCGCTGGTGGCGAGCTCCCTACTGGCCACTGAGAAGCTGAATGAGGGGGCTAAAGATGTGGTGGAGATTGCTGTGCCGGAGAACTTGGTGGGCGCCATTTTGGGGAAGGGAGGCAAAACGCTTGTGGAGTACCAAGAACTGACGGGAGCCCGCATTCAGATCTCAAAAAAGGGAGAGTTTGTTCCTGGCACCAGAAATCGTAAAGTTACCATTACCGGATCGCCAGCCGCTACACAAGCAGCCCAATATCTTATCAGCCAGCGAATCACATACGAGCAGGGTGTGAGGGCCACCAATCCGCAGAAGGTGGGCTAAAAACAGGGAGTATGAAAAAAGGAGAGAGAAAGAGTGGGGGATGGGGAAGATACAGAGAAAGATGGAGGGCGCGAATAACGAAGAAAATCAACCACATTCTTTGTGGGAAAAATCTCAGTATTAAAAAAAAGAAGGAAAAAAATCCTCTCGACGTGGAAAATTTGAAAAAAGAAAAATGTGTAAAATGTAAATATGGGTTTATTTCTTAAGTTTGAATCTTTTTGGAATTTGTATTGGTTGATTTTGTTTTGTTTTTGTTTGGTTTTTTTTGTGCATTTTTCTGGACAGCAGTGAATGGCATTTCAACCTGGCATGCTGCCGCGCTGCAGTTCCCAGCAGGTGGGCAAGGTGGTCGGATGGGGGACAATGGGGTGGAAAAATCCCAGGAAACGGCCCTTTCCCCACCCCCATCCCCTCCTAGCTGACAGAGTTTTTTTTGTTCTTTATTTTTAGTCTTTAGTTGAATTCCCTCCCGTTCGCCCATGCCTCCTCTTTAAGAGGGTCTGAGACTGATTATATATCCCCCCCCAGTCTGTGACACCCCACACCCCATCCCAGCCCCCCTCGCCCTCACGATCCCAGCCGGCCTGACCCTGCCCTGTGCTGGGCAGGATAGGGCAGGGGATGCGAGGCTGCTGAAGGGGTCTCAGCGTCACTAGACATTGACCTGGGGTTCCAGTTCGACCAGGTCCATTGCCACTACAGATGTTGTTAGCATAAGGGAAGCTTGTAGATCATGTCGCGGACATAGGCCAGGACGCAAAATGCACCTGAATCTTTCGTACCAGAGCTTCTAGAGTTTGTGGCATTTCTCTATGGGATTCAAGGTCTGGTGTTTATACAAATACTATTATCATTATTATTATTACTACTACTACTATTATTATTATTACAAATTATCATCACCATCAACGTTATTTATTAATATGATTTCACCCATAAGAACTGAGGTATTTCCTTTTTTGTTTTTCTTAATCTGTGAATTCAGGTTGACATGAATGTAAAGACAATATTTTGGATTTAGATTTTTATTTAAGTAGATTGAATCGTGTGTCCATTTAATATATGTCTTATTTAACGTCCAGTGATAACTGCACCGTCGGCACCAACGGAGAGAATAGGGGCAGATGTACTGTACAGTGATATTAATACAACAAAACACACACCCTCAGCAGACTATTACCAGATTGAAATGCTAAAAACACAACTAAACATACGCAGACTTGAAATCACAGTGGGGACTAGACAATTTATTCACATATCTACTGAATGAGAATGTAGGTCTTTGCACAAGTCCAAGGGAGTGTATCAGAATACGACTTTATATAAAAGCCAATCTCTTTCTGTAACGTCCCAAAACATATCCCCGTCTTTACTCTATATGCTGCAGTGCGAGACATTGTGCACTTTGAGCCGCTGCAGTTGAATATCTGCACAAATGTGCTGGAAGATTTGCGTAGATATTCCTTATCAAGTCAGAAACTGGCCCTCAGAGCTCTGAGGCGTTTCATGAACACATACTACTGAACGACTACGAACAAATTCTGATCGGCACAGGCTGCTTAGTAACATGGCCTGCACTGGAAGTCCCAGGTTGTCTGCTCTATTGTGGCTAACGTGAAAGCCTCGACATTTTTTAAATAAACGTCCCAAGTCACCAGTTCCAATTTGGTTCTGGTTGCATTATACTGAACAGGCTGCCCATGTGAAAGTCTTCCTGTGCATTTCAGAACTACTCATGTGCGACTTATGTGCTGCTAATAAGGTCCTATTTTCTTTTTGTTTTAAATCTGAGTACACTGAATTTCGTCTTAATGCACTGTGAAGTGTGGAGGCCGTGATGGAAGGCCAAAAAAAGTCAGGGTTTCTATATCGTTATCGTGTTGATGCATCACCATGATGGAATGTACTCAAGTGGAACGTCTCATTTTTAAAAGAGCCTCCATGGAGTCAATGTATCACTCACCGTACACTCTTAAAAATAAAGGTTCAAAAAGGGGAGTTCTTGCAGCGATGCCACAGAAGAACCAATTTTGGTTCCTCAAAGAACCTTTCATTGAGCAGTTCTGAACAGAACCATTTTTTCCTTAGTTTGAAGAACATTTTAATAACCAAAATAATCTTTTTCCACCACAAAGAACCTTTTGTACAATGGAAATGCTCCATGGAAGTTAAAGGATCTTGATGGAACCATTGATGCCAACATAGAACCCTTTATTTGTAAGAGTGTACGGCGGAAAGGAAGCCTGGATTGTTTGTTAGGTTGAGGTCAGACTCTTCTGAGCAGTTTTTTGGTATCATGTTGCAGTATCCAACCTTAACTTTCCAAGTGTGCACTAACTAACCGCCAGCCGACCGTGTATATTTATCGTGAAGGGGCAGAGGATGGTATATTTTGTATGTTTAAACTGTGTCCTCCAAATCTATTCTGTGTCTAAACGACTGCTATAACAACATATTGATTCTTTACCGACTGGAATGAGCTTAAAAATACCAAACTGATCCTCATTAACCACAAGACTTGCATACGTTAGCACAGAGAGCCTTTCCCAAAGAAGAATTCGACCAACAGAGAAAGACAGAACTGTGCTCTCTCTCCCCCTGACTAAAGTTATGATTCTTTCCTCTCCTTTGCTATTGGAGCACCAAGGAGAGTAAATCTGAACCAATTGGTAAGGAGGCTTCTTTATTCTCATCTAAAAACCATCACCTCCCCTCACCTCTTCTCAACCCCCCTTTTTACCTTTGTGCACCCCCATTCTGACACATCAACCCAGAGACCCACTTTTCTCACATCTCTCCATGGGTGGCGATGACTGGTGTAACAGTGCATGTCTGCTTGCCCTTTGACGAAACTGACAATGCGAAAGGGAAGATGCGCCTACCGAGTAGAACTAGAAGCTTGCCGTAGATCACGTTCAAGCACATCACACCTTAAACAAGGGACTTACTAAGAGCCATCAATGTTTGTATGGTGTGAATGTACGTGTATATGCGTGTAAAGTTGATGCGTTTGCATAGGTATGAATTTGTCAAGCGGTTGTGCCCTGGTTGAGGAGGTGTAACAAGCGTTTGAAACAGCAGTGACTCCAAGTACTCCGAAAGATAGTTGCACGATTTTGAGGTGCAATGAGCTTTTCTTTTCAAATTAAGGAACACTATAGTTCAGACTTGAAGATCAAGACGAGAAAGCGATGGCAATCGAGCGCCTCCGCATTTTAGAGTGCATCTGTGCATTCGGTTTTACCTATGATGCAGTACTTCATCGGACACTTCAGAGCTTGAACGAGCGGAAACAGTCTTGGTAGATCCCCCGGATAATTTTAAGGTTGAGAAACGTTACATGACCGTTCAATTCGATCAAGACACACAAAACGCAAAATATTACTGTGACAATTCAATGTGAAAACTATAAAAAGGTGCCAACATAGTGTCAAGGAGCAGCTTTCTGTTGTGTTGTTTTTGTATTCAGTACTGAAAGTACATATGTTTTTTTTTTAAGTAACTGGGAAAATAGATCAAATGTGATGAGTACTGAAAGCAATATACGTAGTAGCATGTCGTCACGTCTTGTCCTTTTATTCTGTCTGTGTAGGAGCTTTGGATTTACCTAGATGTTGAGTAGATTTGCATATACTATTTTTTAAGTTGTGAAGATGCTGCTATTGAATAAGTGATGTACTAAAATTTAAGATTAAAAACATATCTGATCAGTCATTTAGCAGGATGTGGTAGATGTAAGAGGTGTAACTAAATGCTACATTGATAATGAAATAATTGCTATATCAATGGATTAAATAAACCTGTGCCAAAATAGATTTACAGATTTAAATGTGATTTAAACACCATTAGTTAAGAGCAGACATACTTTTGTAATTTAAAAAAAGTGAGAGAAAAAAAAAATGTGAAAAGTGCCAAACAAGCCACAGTTAAGATATAACTAGTGGAGGTAAAGTGACTAGAGAAGCAAAAAAAAAAAAAAAAAAAAAAAATAGACATTAGCACTATAAGGTTGAGCGTTTTCTGCCCCTTAAACAAACTAGTCCTTGTTAAAAAGAAGGGATGGAATCATCTCGCAGGCCAAACAACAGCAGGGTGCCGTGTGGCCATTAACACATCCCCGGGGCTAGAAGACTGCCGAGTTAGCTTAGCATGGTTAAAGTTTTATAAGTTATCAGCATTCTTAAGTCAGCCTTTTATAGTTCTGAAAATGTATTTTGTGAAGATAGATGTTATCTTTTTTGCACGTTGATATTTGCATGATACCAAGTGAGGCGTGGATTTAAAAAAAAAAAGTGAAGACAAAAAAAAAATCATTACAAAAAAAACAACAAAAACAATTAGGCTATGTGCATTCATTTTGAGGACAAATCTTTGCATGGCAACAACAGTTCGAGCTATTAAATTAGCTTTTTCACATTTTTAACTTATTATGTTTTCGTTTTGCTAAGACCAAGCTGGAGTTTTGTTGTCCTGTGAAAACTAGGCCACAGAAACCAAAATCATTCATAGCCATGGTCATATTCAGCGTCATAATAAGAGCACTCATTTTGTACAGACTTATCAATGTTTTGTGATAATTTGTAAGAAAAACAATGGGAAAAGTTGGTTAATTCAGCGACATTAACATTCAAACATGGTCGTGAATGTATTCACCACTACATAAGTTTGCATATCACTCTTTCGATCATGATTTTAGGGCTTGTGTTTGCTGTCAGTTCTAACAACATCATTAGGCTTCTGTTCTTTAGCTTGTTCTGCCATCACTGCACATAAAGCTTGACTCATTATCACGAGAATATGCACTTTATAATTCTCTTGCGCTTCACGCCACCCCAGACAAGAACAGCCCCGTTTCCGAATGAGAACAAATGCAATGACACCGCTAAACTGCTTGAATCCTTTACCTCAGATCACCACGAATAAAGGAAAGGGACCGGACTTTCCGATGACGTCACAATGCAATGATGCGGCACTACTGTTTGCATGAGAAAGGATTGGCCAGAAGCTGACCAAAAACGGCAGAGTAGTTTTTACAGAAATAGGAAAAGTTGTTATTTTGACAGTGTTTTTTATTATTAATATTAATGTTAATACGTGCCAAAAAGGGCATGTCTGATATGATGAATATTGTTTTTTTTTCTTCCACATCCACTCTATCTCTCTTTAAGGCCATCAAAATTGCACTGTGCTTAGTCATGGTTGCTTTTTAAGCTACGTTCCTGTGCGCAGTTGTGTTTTTGTGCATGCGTTTAGCATTTTCGCGCCCCCGTACCTCTCCCAGGTCACAGGGTTTGTCACACGCTGTTAAGTCGAGATTGATGCAAACTTATGGTTTAGATGATGTCGAGGAGGTCATTGCTTTTATGTGGGCGCATGGCTAGAGCGCGTCGCTCTTCCCAAACCCCACACGCCCCCCCAGTCCAAGCCCCACCCCTCTCGCCCCGCCCCCCCACGCCATCAGAAGATGATAACCCGGGTCACTTTTGAGCTCGTACCCATTGAAGCACCAGCAATGTTAGAATACATTTGTCATATCACTGTTCTGTTCTCTTTTTTATTTTCCTGTTTTTATTTGTACGACACTCTCTAACCTAGACCAAGTATAACAAAAATGTCATTCATATGTATCCTGTTTACTCTCCCTTTTTCTCCCTTTTGCACTTTCACTGCTCCCCTTTTTTCCAACCACTCCCCACTCTTCTGCCGACCTCCCCCTCACACCCTCCCAGACTTTCTCCTGAGTGCCAAACAAAAACAGTACCATTCCAAACTTTTTGAGTTCTCTTGTATGTTGGACATCCATTGGACGCACCCATGAAGCCAGCATGTTTCTCCATAACATGATGTCAGTCATGACGCCTCAACATTACCCAAAAAGCGAGCAGTAAAAGCAAGACCTGGATTAACACGGTAAAAACACAGCTGGCTACCTCTCATAAACTGCTTTTCCTAATTCTCTGTCATCTCTTCAACCTCCAGGACATCACTGATTGTGTGCCATAATGTTGGGGGGCACTGTCACTCTCCTCACCCCCGAGTCTCTCCATTTGATTTTCTCGATGGATAACATTAAGCGCAAGCAAAGAAAATAAATCCATTTTAACGGCAGGTTTCTTTTTGTTCCTTTAACATAAAAAACATGCTCAAAAAAGCTGAGGAGTGTAAACGTCAGCCGTGCAGCCATCTTCTGTCTTCTGAACTTTGAACTTCTCACCCCTCATGAACTTTATTGACCTTCTTCCTCCCCTTCTATGTTCATCAAATGTTTGGACTTAAAATCTCCATTCCATCTCCAAACCTTTTTGAGACTGTGCAATTCTAGTTGAGATGATTGGATTTACTTTTCTTTCTTCTTTTTTTTTTTTTCTTAAGTCATCATTGGGGACGAAAAAAATAAGAATAATAAAAAAGAGACACACGCAAACATCAGTAAGATCCAAACTGTTTCCTCCACGATTTCATTATTTTCTCTCATTGTAAATATCTGTCAGATTTGGTTGAACTGTAACCAGAAACATGTTCATCGTAATGGGGCTGGCAGCATAAATTCGCTTTTGTGGAGATATGAAGTTGAACTAAACTAAAGCAGCTCCTTTTTTTTTAGAATGATTTAGTCTTGATTATAGAGCCACAAACGCTGTGCTGAGACTGAAATCCGGATCCGGCCCCTCCAAATAATGCATAATCACCACTAACCGCTAAAGTAGACTAAGATTAGCCTTGATGCTAGTCGCTAATCTCATTGTACATATCAGACGTGTTGAGTGTAAATTGTGATGCGTGTCGATTAGGTGTCTTGACCATTGCAGCATCTGTTCACGAGACGAAAATGTTTCTCTGTGATGCCGAACGATCATTTTCATGCGTCTCAACCATGCTTGAGCTCCACATCTAATGTTTCTATGCTGCCAGCTTTGTTTTCTGATAACCCTTCATGAGCTTATTTATTTTCAAACTACTATACATTATTAATAAATGGCATCAAGAAACTAGACAAAAGGGAATGACTGGAAAGATGAATTACTGTTTTGTTTTTAGTATTTTAGTGTTTTAACATCATCCATTAACTGACTTAAAAAAAAAAGTATTAAATATTTAATGTAACTGTAGCATTGTGTTTGTACAAGAAATAGTGAGTTGTGTTTCTTGACTTGTGGATTACCAGTGAAGTCAGCAATTTAGTGCTAATATCTATTAAGTCGTTCCTTTTCTTTTTCTCTTTTATTTAAGGGTTATTATTTTCCGACAGCAACAGCAGTCATTATAAATGTTCATTTTACCATCACCTGTCTTCTGTTGTCTTATTCTTCACCTCCCACTACACTCAGTTTCATCAAATAACACATTGCAAGTTCGTGCCTGAAACCATGTGCTCGGGCTTGGGGGAGGGGCCATGCTTCGTGAGTGAGTGAGTGGGCGAGCGAGCGAATGAACGAATGCGACTGCTTGCGAGAGGCTTGGCCGGGTGGGTGTTATGTCTTCTGTCCACCTAAAGCTAAAACCTGTTGGGTTTCCATTTACCAATGGAACCTGCTGATGTTATAGCTGAATCCCATCATGTAAGCCTAGTTGATTTTGATCGTCCATAACTCCCCTTCCTCCGTTTGCCAACCACTTTCCACCACTACCTTCCCCCCCCCCCTTACGAGCCATTCCCTCGCCACACCACGCCATGTGATGTTCTCCATCGATAACATACTACTCGACCAGACCCACATTAACTCTGTTCTCATGCCTGCAAATGAGGCGGTTGCCAGTCAACTCACCCTCCACTCATGATCCGCCACCATCCCTTACCGGCTGCCGGGGCCAGGCCCAAATTATTAAAATAATAATAATAATGTTTTTTAAAATGAGAAAGAAAAAAAAAATCAAGAAAATACAGACAAGTGACTCTCAGGGTGTTTACGTAGTCTACCTTACTCTGTGATCTCAGAGAACCGCAACCCAGCTCTCTCTCTCAAGCTTTTTAAGGAGCCCAAAGACAATTTACCATGTATGATTGCTTATCAAGTCTTCTTCTTAAAAAACAAAACAAAAAAAAACACAACAACAGAATGATATGCACCCAGTTAAAGGAGCAAGCAAAATGCTGTAATGTTTACAACCTTAACGAGACCAACGCTGTTGAAAGAATGTGTAGGAGTTCAAAGACAATTCTTTAATAATTACGTCCTTTTTGAAGTGACTTCATTTTAATGGATCATTTCTATGTGATATGGAGTTATGTGTTAACTGAGGCATTTTGGAAACATTGCATGTTCCTCTTTTTTGCAATGATTTACATTTTTTTTAAATGTCAGAATGGCTGGTACCGTGTAAAGTTAGAGCTACGTTTAGTTGCTAATAATAAACTACATTGATGTCAGTGTTCATCTCACATATTTTGGAGAAAGGTACTGGACTGTGGTCCGAAAAGGAAAAAAAATTGCGTAACTGTATAGAATTTGTTCTTATTTGTATATTGTGGCAGTGAAATAAAGAATATACTGGAAGTATCAGGGACACGTGGGTAGAGATTGAAGGGCCACTGACTGTAAAGCTCGCAGTCATGAGGTAAGTTTACATGAGGGGGGAAAAGTATCACTTTGTTTTTATATTTACAGATACTTGTGACATTAAAACAGTATATGAAATACACAACATGCTTTAATGGAACTGGCATCTCCACGTTAAATAAATCATTCTAATTTTACATTTTAACCAGTGTATCAGTGAAATAAGCCTGAAAAAAAAAAAAAGTTTTCCGTATGGGTGTCTTGAGTGTGACTGATATGCAAATGCAGCATGTGTGATGTAATCCAATGTAATTTGCCATCACATGCTTGGTACAGCAAAGCCACTGGTCTTTTTGCTCATAATGCATGGTTTCAGGTTGAAGTCGATTCAAGATGATCTCAAAAACATGATAAAGTCTCTTGATCATTGTCATCCACCCACTTTTTCTGTGCACTAATTCATCCAACCTGCAAAAACCACCTTCACCTTCCCAACATGTCTCCAAAGCCAACACCAGCTAAAAGCACCGCGGAAAATCCCAATATAGTCAGCGGTCAGCGGGCTTGACTGGTCTTCATGTTGGCTTCAGCATATTGATCTGTGGTGGAGACCCCAGGGAAATTAACATTCACCACATGATTAAAACCTGTCTCACCAAACCAACCATATAAACTAAAGAAGTATCTCCGGTGTTCAGACAAAACGGCTCGACTTTGATTGTTATTTTTTTTAGTGATGGTCTTTTAGACAGCGTTCAATTCTAATAAGGTTTTGCAAAAATATGATGCACGTTGAGGGTTTTAAAAGTGTTTCCAGGCAGCTTCTAGATGTCTCGCTCTGAGAAAATCCAATCACAATCAAACGTAGGAATGTTTCTGCACCAGTCGTCGTGCATAAGTAGTGATTTCGTAATCTAGCCATGATCCTACGATATCTATATCTGCATCCATAACTCGGCCCAAAGCTCCAAGCTCCTTTTTAAACATGGAAACTGTCATGATGAATAATTAGGTCTTTCAAGTGGAATCATCACTCCCTCTCTCTGTATCCACTGGGAATGGTGAGCTGGTGTAGCCGAAGCTCCATCATTTCAAATGTATCCAATCTCGCTAATTGTGCACCTTTACCAGCCTTAGGCCATGATTGATTTTCCCTGCTCCAGCTCGGTTCCTTCCCCTCACCTCAAACCCAACAGGCTCGTTGCAGCCCAGCTGTTCCAGAAAGCAAACCTAATTGTTTCTGCTCCCCTGCTTTTCTCAGAGGGGGAAAAAAAGAGAGAGAGAGCAAGAAGTAGACAAGAATATGCTCTCAGCTCTCATAAATCCCTAGAGTTGGAAAGCAGACCTGTGGAACATGTGCAAAGATCTCCAGTCCTTAGTCCAGCACTTTTCAAGGGAGAACACGCAGTACTCTGTCCTGAGATCATTTCGTCATTTTTATTAAGGTGGACTGTCTTTGCATTTACCTGTATATGTATTTGCTGAATGATATCTGTAACAAATTTTTAACTTGGATTATTTCGAGTGAGCCTAAAAAGCATTTGGACATTTAAAACACACTTAAAATATATGAATTTCTATACACACACATATTATATAAACAAAAATGTTTTATGTTAGGTGTGATTAATCGTGATTAATCAATTTGACATTACTAATACATATATATCATTACTGTAGTCTTCAGTGTCACATGATCCTTCAGAATCATTTTAATTTACTGATTTGATACTAAAAAATAGAGTTTAAAAGCATTTATTTAAAATAGAACATTTTTGTAACATTATGAATGTATTTACTGTCACTTTTGATCAATTTAATGCATTCTTGCTGAAGATTACGTGTAGTGAGCCCAAACTATTGAACGGTAGTGTATAATGTTGCAAGCTTTCGGATAAATGCTGTTCTTTTGAACTTTCTATTCATAAAAGAATCCTGATAAATAATTGTACACAACTATTTTTCAGCATTTATAATAATCAGAAATGTTTCTTGAGCAGCAAATCACCATATTAGAATGATAAGAATGATTTCTGAAGGATCATGTGACACTGAAGTAGGGAAGTAATGCTGAAAATTCAGCTTATATATATGATATATATTGTAGCTTATAATATTTTTTCTTTAATAATTGAAAAATTTTGTGAAATGTATTTTTTCATCATTTTAACTGGGCCTAAGTGTCCAAATGCTTTGTTGGGCCACTGTACAGTGTTTATAGATTTGTATGACATCAAAATGACTGAAGTACCACATTTCTACAGATGCATTATTATCAAATGCAATTATATGCAGAAAAAAAAAAGTTAAAGACTGAAAAAAATGGCAGAACATCTGTCACTACAAATGTATAAGAGTAAATCATTTTGATTTGCAATCTGAGCAACAGCTTTCTGGCTGCAAACAGGCCTCAGGAATGCATGAGCCGTAGATCTACACAAACATTTCCTCGACTTCACAACAGGTTTCTGTCTGTGCGGTGGTGCTGAAGTCAACATCATGAATTCAGCAGTAAAATCTGTCCTTTTAATACGGCTGACTCCTTAAAAAAAGCTAGGATACAGAATCAGACAGTGTGACGCAGTCTAATCAATTTAAAGCTAGTGTGTCTCGGATACATGAAGGCTTGTGCTGATACAGAGAGTAGCTGTCACGTCAAAGCGAGGTCTGGCCTACACCAACACTATAAAACTAAAGTCAGCAATCGCAGTCACAGTAGAAAAGCACTTTGTCCTTGTTTTCCCCCAGATTACTTTTTGTATGAAAATATATCTACTGAATAGACAATATATATATTGATTTTTGTATAATCTGTGACTAATACTATTCAATGTACAAATCTGACCTTAAATACTGTTTCTAAGACAAAACCAAATCAGATGGTGATAAACTAACTGTGGTCCATAAGAATATGTAATTTTATCAGCAATAATGTTCGAAACTTTATAAGCTACCTTTTTATGGCTATTTATTTGAATGTTGCAACATGTATTTTGACAAAATAGTACAAAAGTGACAAAAACAATTGATTAATCACTCCAATTAATGTGCATTTCTAACACATTTTTTCATCAGCTTGTTTGTTTTTAAAGAAGTGCAATTTAAAAAGCAAGAAAATGCTTTCTTATCCTACTGTGAAAGAAAACTGCAGGCTTCCTATACGACAAAAAAAAAAAAAAAATTAAATTCTGATTTAATTTTGCTCCCCCTTTTCTTTATTTAAAGAGTACAACATTTCCTTAAGTGGGAGTGTGTTTTTGACAGACCAAAATATCCATCCAGTTCCATTTCACTCAATTTAAACTGGTTTCACGGAAAACACTGAAAATGATTGTAATAGTTTTGTATGTTTTTTTGTTTCTTGCTGTTGTAATATTTCTAACAAATGAAGCTGATAAATTATCCTAGAGATCGTTCGTAATATAAGGAATAACTTTTAACATCAGTGTTTTATGAGTATATGTACATAAAGAAATAAATTAAGAAAGTTGCAATGCAAAGCTGTGATTTTAAAGCACTGTAGCCCTGTACAGTGATTTGTTTTTATCAATTTTATGGTACATATGATATGTTCTGCATTTCTGCAGTTGTTGTTTCTTTTCTTTATGTTCATGAGCATATGCTTTAATAAATATGTTTTTTACAGTACATTTCTGAGGCCCAAGCCATTCTTATGACAAATTACAGTAGAGTGAGTGAACTTACAAAGCAACCAGCATATAGGTCATGCTTTCCGTATCTATATCTATCTAGTGTGTATTGTTTCTAATTATCCATGAATACTTGCTTCTATCTGTAATTAGCTTTTGGTGCTGTCTTTTTTATCTCAAAAGTCTTTCATAGGTGATGTACGTTAGCGCTGCTGGGCTAATGAGGGATATAAATGCACAAGTTCAAGTCTTAATTGGGTCACTGCTTGCCACAGATATGACTAGTACAATAAAGAAAACAACTTATGCTCCCAAGACGCAAGATAAAATAAGAAACGTCTTAGTTCTTGTATAAATCTCTCCACGCTTTCTGTGTAGGTTAACACTGAGAGACACCCGGCACGCAATGATAAACCTACACACCTGTGGTGGAGGGTCTTTGTGATAAAAGACTTTCTGGAAATAAGATTAAAACTTTAAATTGAAATCAAAGTGCATGCCAAACAAAATAACAAGAAGTGGCCAAAAGTGATGTCTGTAGGGGATTATTTGCACAATATTTGCTTTTCAGAGTCTAAAACAATCAAAATATGATGAGTATGTTATATTGGGAAACAGAAATGTATTAAAAAGACAAACACCAACATAATAATTAAAACTGGGTTTTGTAGTATTATGCAAAAAGGCAGAGAACAACAAAAAGCTTCAATGCAGGAAATAAAGCATACTGTACCCTATCAGAATACAATGGAATGAGTTATTAATATTTTGTTGGTTTTCCCATTCTCCTGGGCACTGACTTACAAAACCTGCAAGTGTCGTCCTTAGCTTCCTTTCTTCCCAAAGTTGAGCTTTGTTGGAAGACTTATCAAAATTCAGGTTTATAATTTCCCAAAGGAATTCAATGGTTGTTGTATTGTGGTTGAAAATGAAAAGGCAGATTCTGACGTTAACCTGACTTTCATTTCCAACCAAAATGGAACCCAACCTACTTTCTATTCAAGGTTCTTGACAGACATTTTGTGAAAAAGTCTGATATTTGGTCAACCAACAGAGCCATTTCCAGATCTGCAAGCTAAAACATACGATAGGCTGAAATAAAAGTATAGATTCACAATAAATACATTTTGCTTGCAGTAAACAACATGCATCATTAACACAGCAAGCTATTTTTTAATCACCATAGAAACTGGTTGAAGCCTTCTGACTGAGCACAATAT